TTCCTAATTAAAATGAGAAAGAGTGATGCTGAGACCTCTTTCTATCTATCCCCTTCTCCTCAGTGTGTGAATTGTTTAGAGGGGAAAAGTACAGGCTATCTGGTGCAGGTTTAGAGCACTCACCATCAGCTCCAGTCTCCTTGGTAATCCCAGGACACCATAGGCATTTCTGAGGCCAATAAAATTAAAAACCATTCAGGCAGCAGTAAAAATATCTACTTGCCAACTCACCATTAGCTCCAGTCTCCTTGGTAATCCCAGGACACCATAGGCATTTCTGAGGCCAATAAAATTAAAAACCATTCAGGCAGCAGTAAAAATATCTACTTGCCAACACAGTAGTTCAGAACAATTTTTAGACAGGGCTTTTAGAGTCATGAGAGTTTACGAATTGCCTCTTTCTTTCAAATTGGTTGAGAGTTAGACAAGTTTTTCATCTTCATGTTAGTGCTAGTAGCAGCCTTACAACTTTAGTACACAGCTGAATAATGCATCCAACAACATTGCTGTTTAATGTGTGTAGTGGACTGGCCTCAAAATCCACAAGATCAACCCTCGTTCACAGTAATGACTGAAAGAATTGGTACAGATTTGCTTGCTGGAAGTATGTTTTAAGTGGTAAGCAAAAGCTCCTATTCTCAGAATGACGGAGTCCAGTTTATGTGAATAGCTGTAAATCTGGATAACATGAATGTATCCCCCAGTTTTCAGATTGGGACACACACAACACACAATCGTCAAAGTAGCCTTTGACAGCCATTCTGTTAGTCCATGACCTCGTGTACAAATTATGGGTTGGATCTGGCAGAAAACTTCATGGGCATTAGTAGAGTTCATTGTTCCTCACCTTCAGCCTGCTGTCTGTCTTGACACTTCCCTCTAAGAATCAGGAGGAGCTCACAAGCAAAATGGCACAAGATGGGGCAGATGAATGAGAAATGTGGTTAAGATCACCATTTCTCCCTTCTCTGCTGATGGAAGCAATAAGCAAAATAGCAAGAAAGAGGTTTTTTACTTGATTCTCCATCACTGCTGAAGCACACTGTCTTGCGAGGCTCTTGCCAAGCTCCAAGGACCATCAGGATACACTTAGTATACCGAAGAGATACCCCTGAAGTTACTGTCTCTACATAAACAATTATGTAGCAGGCTCCCTTGGCTGGGCAAAAACTAAAACCCTTCTGCAAGGCAACACATTCCTTAACATGCATACAAAATTGAGTTTTGTATGCGTGTTGACTATAAATTCGGCTACATTTTAGGTCACAGATTTGATCCTTGGGATTCCAAAAGCTGTCTCTTAGTCCCATACATCTGTATACAAAATGGGCATTGCTGGCAAGGGGGGAAGCCTCAGCGTCACCTCCTTCCACATGGCTTTTGACATTACCTTGGCACAAGGAGGAGCTGTATGGCAGTAATAACACAGTTATCCAATACAAAGGCTCAGTAAATGGAGGGTCCCTCCCCCCCCCAAAAAAAAAACACATTAGAATGTCTGATTATCTCAAGCCAGTAACAAACATATGTGTCTACCCTACTTCTCAGATCACCCTGTTTGGCTCTGCTACAGATCCCTTCATCATTTCATGTATGCAAAGTTGGGCCGTGTGATACTAGAGACTTTTAAGCTGTGGCATCACAAACGGTGAACACTTTTCCCAGGAAAGACATCTGATTCTCAATACTGACCGCATTTCATTGGGCAATAAAGATGCCGTTGTTTTAAAAAGACCTCTGAGCCTCTTCAAAAGCCTTGTGGATAGGCACATTTTCCCTTCTCTTGTCTCTGATCACAGTCTAATAATGTATTTGACTGCAGACGTTTTAACCTACTGAAGACTGAGTTCAACTTTATTATCTTAATAAAATAAAAATATAAAATAGGATAACTATTTTGATAAATGAAAGGTGTTTTGTAGCTACAGTACATATCTCCAGCACCAGCTTCATATGCAATCTAAACTGCGTGCTAAAATGAAGAAGGCTGCCCAGGGCCCCTTCCATTGGAGCTCTTTTCTCCTTCTCCAGTCACAGGGACCAGTCCTCCCAACTGAGACTCCTTTCTTCCCCTCTCCCTTCTGGGGGGAATGGAATGTAACTCTCACACATTCCTTTTAGACCCACTGGTGCCAGCAGATCTAAAAGGAGCGTGGAATAGTTGCTGCTCTGCTGCCTCCAGCACTTTCCACTAAGAAATGAGAGATTGTCTAGAAGACCTGCCATGTAGCAGGGCTTCTGGGGGAAAGTGCCTAGAGAAAGAAGCACAGTGCAGCTCCCTTGCACTCTGTTTCTTCTGTGGCCACTAGGCACTGTTCCCACTGGGAAATAGGGATCAACCCAGAATTTCCAGTCAGCAGGTGACCCTCTTTCAGGCTGTGGACCCCACCATGTGCCCAGTCATGACCAGGGGTCATTTCCTGCAGGAGCGCACAGGAGCGGAGCACCGGCAGTAAAGAGCCCAGGGGGCGGGCACATGCAACAAGCCCCACCCCCTGCTCCCAGCAGCCCTCAGTCAGAGCAAGAAGCACCCAGGTAAGTTGCAGAGCCCCCCCCCCCGGTACAAAACAGTCCAGTGGCACCTTTAAGACAAAGTTTTATTCAGGTACAAGCTCTCCTTCCTCTGCAAGGACATATCTGCACACACACACACACCCCGATAGCTAGCAATCCAAAACAATCCAGTGGAGCCTGAGCGGTGGGTGTTGCCTTCTGACACACTTACAGGGATGTCAGGGGGTGTGGCATATGCAAATGGTTTATGCTAATGAGCTCTTGCACCTCTTTTTCTACGAAATGACCCCTGGTCATGACAACCCCTGATGCCAGTTCTGAGGCTCCTCTACCATGTTAAGACTGCTGCTACTTAGGTAGATTCCTCAACTGAGCCAGAGCATAATGACAATCAAATGTATACTGTACAAAAACATTTACATAAGTAGTTTCTGATGTTTAAAATATTGCACCATCATTAACATCACTGAAACTGAAAACGCATTAGTTAGTTCCGTTACCTTTGTTGGCACTGACATTGGAGAAAATACACAAGTAGATAAATAAGTAAAACATAGGCACATATACCAACTGGGGGGGGGGAGGAAAACAACAACACCCCATTCTAAAACAATCTAAAATCCATATAAATAAGTCTCACTTTCCTATCTCCCAAAAACAAATTTTGCATAAAAACACCTTAGGGAAAAAAAGACAGCCACCGAATTTTTTAAAGACTAAAAGACTGTCACTGCTAGCAATCCTTGTCAATTTGAAATCAATGCATTATTATACAGAAACCTCCAACCAAACCAGATGACTAGAAGCCTTTAGTCAAAGGACTGTCCGGTTAGCTCAGATCAGCATACGTATTCAAATGCTCTCCCCATCTACACTGCTTTGCAGTCCTCGTCGCCCCTCTTGCCAGTCCTAATGCTGCACAGACAGACGAAGCCAAAACTGGAATAATTCTCTTGTCAAAGTACAGACTGTACGGATAAAACTTAGCCACCCTGCTTCATAGTCATTTTGTCTAGCTCTCCAGTCTCCTTCTTTCATCTTACATAACATGTAACCATTCCTGATGTTCCTTCTGTGTCAACTGGTTTATCTCAGTTCCCTGGTGGTTCCCCCCCCCCTTCCTGTTTATTCAAATCACCTATCCTACCTTCAGGTTCTACTCTCATAGTGTATTTTATCCTGCACCCTTCCTTCCACTGCATTGCTTCTGGGTTTTCTATTCCTTGGCTTCCCTACATATACTGGGGGCCCTGCACCATCCCCAGTTTGCAATGTGGTATTTTAATCTCAGTGACACGGGACACTTTCCCTTCTTGTACTGAAGCAGGACAGCAAATTGGTTGGTTCCCTGAGCGACTGAATATTCAATGTCAGAAGCTTCTCCACCACTAGCACAATACAGTGCAAATGCCATACTATTTAAACTTAAATCAGGAGGTAATAAATACTATGATGAAGAGAAGACAAAGAAGAGATTGGATTTATACCCTGCCTTTCACTACCCAAAGGTGTCTCAGAGCGGCTTACAAACTCCTCTCCCTTCCCCTCCCCACAACAGACAACCCTGTGAGGTGGGTGGGGCTGAGAGAACTCTGACACAAACTGCTCTTTTTCAAGGACAGCTGTGCCAGAGCTTGTGACTGACCCAAGGTCACATCAGCAGGTGCCAGTGGAGGAGTGGGGAATCGAACCCGGTTCTCCCAGATTAGAGTCAGCACACTTAACCACTACACCAAACTGGCTCTCTGATAAGTGGAGGCACCAGTTAGAAAGAAGAGTTGTACTAAAAAGTTATTTATTCTTATTATTATTTTTAAATTTATACCCCGCCCTTCACTTGGAGTCTCAGAGCGGCTTACAAACTCCTCTCCCTTCCCCTCCCCACAACAGACACCCAGTGAGGTGGTTGGGGCTGAGAGAACTCTGACACAAACTGCTCTTTTCCAAGGACAGCTGTGCCAGAGCTTGTGACTGGCCCAAGGTCACATCAGCAGGTGCCAGTGGAGGCGTGGGGAATCGAACCCGGTTCTCCCAGATTAGAGTCAGCACACTTAACCACTACACCAAACTGGCTCTCTGATAAGTGGAGGCACCAGTTAGAAAGAAGAGTTGTACTAAAAAGTTATTTATTCTTATTATTATTTTTAAATTTATACCCCGCCCTTCACTTGGAGTCTCAGAGCGGCTTACAAACTCCTCTCCCTTCCCCTCCCCACAACAGACACCCAGTGAGGTGGGTGGGGCTGAGAGAACTCTGACACAAACTGCTCTTTTTCAAGGACAGCTGTGCCAGAGCTTGTGACTGGCCCAAGGTCACATCAGCAGGTGCCAGTGGAGGAGTGGGGAATCGAACCCGGTTCTCCCAGATTAGAGTCAGCACACTTAACCACTACACCAAACTGGCTCTCTGATAAGTGGAGGCACCAGTTAGAAAGAAGAGTTGTACTGAAAAGTTCTCCAAAAACTAGTCACTGAAGCTCACGTACCATTCTATGCTGGGTTGAGATAACACTGTTCCAGTCAGCGTCTTGTTGGATTGTAGTGACTAGCGTCGGTAGCTCCTCGGAGTGAGGTTTGTTGTGCAATATGGTGTGCAGAGGCAGATGTGAAGCCACCAGCTCTTCATTGTTGCCTTCTTCTTGTTCCTGTGATGTTAAGTCCTGGGTTGGTGGTTCCTCTCCATCAGCTGCAAATGGAGAGGTGGCCTGCTTGGAAGACATTCTTCTGCAAAACAAGAAGAAGAAAGCAAGGCACGTTTTGTTAATTTTTTTAAAAGACCAAGAGGAAAAAAATCCATTAAAACACACTGTCACTAAATATATTACTTAAACCACAGGCCTGTGCTGGCAGCTCCCCCACAATAGTAGCTCTAAACCAAAATGTGGAGAGGTACACTACCAAAGTGGAGCTGCGGTGGCTCAAGTGGTTAAGACGCTGAACTGCAGGCTGTGGAAGGTCGGTAGTTCAGCAGTTCGAGACCCGGGTGCCGCATGATGGAGTGAGCTCCCGTCTCTAGTTCCTTCCAGCGCCTGCCAACCTAGCAGTTCGAAAGCAAGAAATTGCAAGTAGATAAATAGGGACCACTTCGGTGGGAAGGTAACAGCGTTCCGTGCACCTTGGTGTTTAGTCATGCCGGCCACATGACCACGGAAACGTCTTCGGACAGCGCTGGCTCTTCGGCTTTGAAACGGAGATGAGCACCGCAACCCTAGAGTCGGATTCGACTGGCTTTCGAGCAAGGGAACCTTTACCTTTACCTTTACACTACCAAAAGAAAGAAGTAGTGATTAGTAGTGATCTCATGCAATGGCTAGTCTTTCACTGCTGTATGCATTGATTCTTATTATCTGCATTAATAATATATTACTTTAATTCAGAGTAACTTTAATTCATATGATGTCTTTGACACAAATTTCTGTTGTTGTACACTGACCTTCTTAGTCATGTGTCTTCCATTTACCTGGGATCGACAGGTGCAACTGAATCAGCATGCCTAACACCTTTAATATCCTCTCTCTAGATGTACCCCAGAATAATAAGAGGCCCTGGATTAAGTTTTTAGCATTTACTAACAATTTCCAAGTGAAACAGGTGAGTCCTATATGATTCAAGGCATGCAGTGTCATCACATTTTAATTACCAAATGGTGTCATTTTTCCCAGTCTTACCACGAATGTTATTGACATATATAATTTTTCCTCCTCAGAATCTTCTTCCCAAAGGGTTGTTCCTGTGTTCCCTCATAATTTCAGTAGGCATGCAAGAAATGCCTAGCTGTTTGCACAATTAGTTTGGAAATCTTCTGCTCCCATAGTCAATTAATTATGGAACATTTGACTCTTGCAAAACAAATTTTACAAGTCACCAGCTATGCTGTTCCAAACAAGTCCTATGATTAAAGCATTATTATCTCGTAAGCTATTTTAACTATAGCAAAGTACTAAAATTGTCCTATGTAGCCATGTAAAGCTAAGTAGAATGAATGAATGAATGAATGAATGAATGAATGAATGAATGAATGAATGAACTTGTAACTTCTGTAAGGCTTAACTACTGTTCTGCAGTTTCCATTTTATATTGTGCATATATTACAAGGTGCACATAACTTGGAAGAATAAAGCTAAAGGTACATAATCAATTATAAAGAAAGATTGTTTTTAGGATAGTTTTTTACAATTTCAAATAGCAATATTTCATCACCTTTCACAGTATGTTCTGCAGAAGCATTCACATACCAATATTTTTCATTTTGGCTGAGATGTAAAATGATTTCAACTCAAAATGCAAAATTCTATTTCATATGAAAAACAATAATCCCTTTTTAAAACTGTAGTAGTAAATGAGAATATATTATTGGAGACAGATCACCTTAAAACAAACAGAATATCTTTATGCTAAAACTCCAATAACTAAAGAATAAGACTTCCACCTTAATTACTATTTAATAATAATTGATTTCATATAATTTCCTTAAAAATGCACAAATCAGTTAACAGAGGAAACCACACGAGCATTTTTCAAATTAGCAAATCATTAACTCAGTAGTACTGTTTCTATAGACAAATAATTACTGATTAAAGAGCCTGGAAATCTGAGACTAACAGTTAAATTTACAGATCTGACACATGCTTTCATGAATATTACAGTGAAGGAAATATCAAGTGTAAAGAAAAATAATTAAGTTAATTCCAATTTAAACAGTAGTTTTTAATGTAGCAGTCCATGGTTCACATAGGATTTAACAGCTAATGCTAAATTTCTCACAATTAATGAGAAGACACAGATTTAGCATCCTACTGAAAAAAAATAAGATAGGTTCAGTTAATCTAATTATACACAGTTCTAAATAAGTGTACTACAGGCCTTTGGAGTAACCTGAAAAAAATATTAAAATGCTGATACCTATTTAGTTTTTAAAAATTACAAATAATGGTAATACTGACTTAATATTTTCTTGGAGAGTACTAACTGCTGAAATTTACTAGAATCAGCTTGCTGTAGACCTGACTACAGCCCCCATATACTTCACTATGGCCAGATCAACAGTGACAGTCACACAACAGTCCAGTCCTAACTTGCAACTGCTGTGACACTGCAACTTTGCCATTACCCGGTGGGTGGGGGTATACATTTAAATAAATAAAATAAATTGTGTTGCAACTGCAGGATTCTGGCCAGCAAAAGTATAAACTAGCACAAGTATTTGGATCATACGGAGGGCAGTACTTAATGCCTTACTTTAAACTTGTAGATACACTATTGCAATGAGAGTGTAATACAATTGTGCACAAATCTCTAGTAATTTAAGGCAGTGGTACACTTAAAACAGTACTTGGGAAGAAAATTCTATTCACTTGAGCATTAGGAGGCATCTTCCAATTACAAACAGGACTGAATTCTTCCAGAAGGAATAAGCTCTGGCTGCTTTTCTCAGTTTAAATTAATCATGACACAAACCCAGAAATGAAAACGTCTCTTAAGAATAATTCCAACTACAAACTGCACCAATGAATAACAGTGCACAATCCTAATTAAATGCAACTGTGCAGCTGTGAAAATAGGTTAAATCTGTCCAAAGCTATGAGATGGCTTTTAAAGGCTGGTTTGTTAGGGAGTGTTTTCCTAAGAAAGGCTGGGCCTTCGGTCTTAATCAGCCAATAAATTATTTCCTGCAATTACATTAAATAGAAAATTATCTTCAAATTGGGAATGTTAATTGAAAATCAAAATTCAGAGTGAAGTTTAGAAATTACATGCTGAATATAATTAGTGTGGAAAGACTTCACCTCAATTTCATCAACAGGCTTTTGGTAATTCCTCAAGTGACCATTCTGAAAAGCTACTCCGTTAAGAGCTCAATAAAGTGGAAACACCTTTTTCTTTTTAAATGTAAACCATTTCATACAAGTTTACACATATGCTCCAGTGTTCACACCCGTGAACAAACATCCAATGCCCACAGAAAAATATGCCTGATACAACACAGTATCTATTTGACATACATTAACAGTAAATAGTAAATAATGGGGGGGGTTTACCTTCATTATTACTGAATTTAGTTTTTCTAACTAAACATATTTGCATGGGTCCAATTCAATGCATTTATACTGCCCACCTTCTTTCTTTAAAACTAGTTTTGCACAGAAGAAAACAAATACAACTTTTAATGAGATACTCCTACATTCTTCTGAGGAGCATCAGCTTAAAAAAACTGCTGTGGCTGCGGCTGCGGCTGCAGAACCACAATTCAATAGACTTCTGAGAAAGGCCCATTTCAATGAATGAAGGTTGCAGTGCCTGGGGAACCCTTTGAATTCAGGGAGAACAGAGAGGCAGTATCATTCTTCTCACACATACACACGTTTCAGCCCACACGTGATTTTATACACTGAGGGACTATTGTCATAAACAGTTACCATGTTCAAGAGATGCATGCCCAAAGCACAAGTATCTTTCTTTTAATAAAAAGGCAGGTGACTGACCTGTACTGAAAAGCTGCCCTATTGGATATAGAAAAGTAAGCCATCATTACCAGTGCTCTTAAAATATATCAGCTTCTTTTGCAGTTTAGCTGTGAATATGGTCAAGACAAGATCATTGGACTTCCATCAATCAAGAGACCCGGCTGAAATCTCTGTGCCCCAGCTACTGAAATCTAAAAACGGCACTCCTGCCCTGGATTATACAAAGAATGTGCTAAGCTTTGTGTGTGCTCATTGATGGCCTTAGATATTTTTGCACCTCAAGCAAGAAGTCAAAATGACAACAACGCTGTTGCTATTTTCAACTAGAGTCTGCTTCTTAAAAAACAACAACAGAGAGAAGGAGAGCATGTGACAGAAGGAGACAGACAGAGACCAGGAAAAGGTTTCCATGAAGTGTTTACAAGAGACTGCTCCATATAGGCTTGTGTTTGGTCAGTCCAAAAACCAGCAGGGGCGATTTCTCACTAGAGCTGCCTTACAGCACAGCGCCGTTTGCCCCAACACAAACGTGTCAATTTCACACCCGAAGCTGCGGGGCTGCATTTGACTCGGGGCTTCGCCCGATTTCCTCCGCAGTTTCATGATCCTCAAAAACCAGAATCACGAAACTGCGGAGGAAATCGGGCGAAGCCCCGAGTCAAAATGCAGCCCCGGAGCTTCGGGTGTGAAATTGACATGTTTATGTTGGGGCAAAAGGCACTGTGCTGCGAGGCAGCTCTAGTGAGAAATCACCCCAGGTAGTTTAGTGAGCATAAATATTGGCGCTTGAAGGACATACTAAAGGCTGATCATTGGTTTACAGAACTTACATGATCTCAAAGTGTTTATCAGCATTCCTCTCATATTTTCAATTATTTGCATACCACTTATATTATAAAAGTGCTTTGACTTTCTGCCATTTTCAAGTTTACCTACTATTTTTGTGTGTGTAACAAATTTATAAGTGAAATCAGTCCTCTGCTTGGGGTTATCTTTAAAAAAAAAAAAAAGAATTCCATGCCACTTATAACCCCTGAAAACAGGGATTTATAATGGAAGTGCTGACACAACCTCGACTAAAGCAGCGCAAATGGTGCTGCTATAATACACAAAATCAAGTTCTATTATTCTAAACTCTTCTCACTTGTGGGGTTTTTCTTTTACTGTGCTCCCAGACAAACTGCTGAAGCATGAAAAATTTAAATGCAATCAAATGGATCCAATTCCACTTTCCTAGAACAAGTGTGTACAGTGGTACAG